AGGTCCAGCATTCCGCAAGCAAGGCGTCTTGCAGAGGGTTTGGGGGGATGTGGCTCCAGTTGGGGGTGGGGCAGTCCATCCTTCCTGAACGCGCACAGTTCCCACAGCCTGAGGCGTCCGGGGGTCTCGAGGACTGTGAGAAAATCTCCACAGGAAATGAGAGCCAGGAGCAGCTGGGCCCCCTCGGAAGACAAGGACCAGCCGCCCAGAGCCTGAGGAGGCTGAACAGGCTGGGCCCCCCACAGCCCCCTCCCCCAGTGGGTAATCACTACCAGATGCCCAGCAGCTGACGTCACTCTGCAGGGCCGAGAGGGTCGTGGGACTCTGGGGAGCACTGGGAATTCTTGGACCAGAATCAACATTCCAGAAGGAAAAGGAAGGGGGGGTGTTTTGGCCTCTTCTCAATGCCTGGCATTGGAGTTGGCGCAAGGGCAACATGGGGTGCCCCCGGCTCCCTTATGGGGTCCCACCTTCTTCAGGTCCCAGTTTCCTTCAGAAATGCCCTGGGACGGGGGATGGAGGGGCCTGGGTCTCTGGGTGGGAGAAAAGGACACTCAGGGGAGGCACTTAACAACGAGTAGCACTGCATTCGAATCCTCCGCCAAGGAGAGGGCCTTGCACAGCCCAAGTCAAAGTGGGGCCTTCCCTGCTCAAGGCCAGCACTGGCCGCCCAGAGTCACAGCCAGGTCCTTGCTGGGCCTTCCAGGCCTTCCGTTATCTGGACCCATTTCCTCCCTGGCCTGTCTCCTACTGCTTCTGTCCCCCAGCCCCCACCCTGTTCTAATGCAGCCACTTGGGTCCCTGCCGCTCCTCAGACGTGCCAAGGGCGTTCCACCTGCGGACCTTCCTGCACGCTGTTCCCTTGGCCTGGTGCACTCTTCCCCAGATAGCGAGAGGGGCTGTCACCTCGTCTTCCTTGTTCAAACATCACTTTCTTGGAGACTTTTTTCCTGGCTCACCTTCCTAAACTGCCACCATCAGCCACTCCCCCCAAGAGCAATTCCCCCACTTGATTGAAACCTTTCTTCACAGCACTTTTCTCTTCTGAGTGTATAACTTGTTATCCTGTTAATCATCTGTCTCCTTCACATGGGACCAGGGCTGCAGGAGAACAGGGCTTTGTCTGCTGTGTTCACTGCCATCTCCCCAGGACCTGGAATAGTGTCTAGGGCGTAGTTACATCGCAGCAATTACTAAAATGACTAAAATTCCAACTCAACTAAATGTGTGATCTCATGCAGATTATTTACTTTATAAAACCTCAGTATCTTCATCTGTAAAGTGCGCTCCTAATACCTCTCCCCAGAGGGTTATGGAAAGTCATTTGAAATCATGGTAGAAACAGCGTTGAGCTTTTTTACTTGCAAGAGGTAAAATGCGGCCTCGTGATTAAGAGCTTGGGCTTGGGAGTTGGTCAGCTCTGGGATCAAATCTAGGCCCTGACAATCTCTCTGTGACCCGAGGAAAGTCCCTTCCCTTCTCTGGCCCTGTCTCCTCACTGGTAAAATGCAGCAAATAGACGCTCCCCCCACCCAGGGTCCATGTGGCAGACAGTGCCCACTGGGAGCTCCATATGGGGTCGGGTCAGTTATGAGTCCCATCGCTGGCAGGGCCCTGGCCTGATGATTCCCCTGTGGGTGTGGGTGGGGGCTGTTGGGAACCTCGCTTCCCTCTCTGGTTCTCCGCTTGCTCCCCTGTCACATGACTTGAGAGGGAAGGGTGTCAGGGGTCTCTGGACAGGCTATTTCCCTGCAGAAGGCTGAGGGTGTGGGGGCATGGGGGCAGGTCAGGCTGGCACTGTCCTCTCTGGGAGCTAAAGGCCCTTCATTGCTGGTGTTGTCGGCCCCTCCTCCCTCCTTCCTCCTCATCCCCATGATCTCAGCAAGGAACTGGGCACCAGGAAACTCCTGCAGCCTCACCTCTTCCCCTTCCTTCCTTCCTTCCGCTCCAGGTGCACCCTGCTTCCCAGGGGGTAGGGAGGGAAAACGGGAACCACCCCCTTGCGGTTCTCAGATGCCTTCTTCCCCACTCTGGATGGGTCCTCAGAGACCCTCGCGAGCCCATCTGGGCTGCTGGGGAGATTGAAGCCCAGAGAAGGGCCGGGCAAGCCTGAGGTCACACAAGCAAAGCAGCTCTCCTGACTCCAGGGTACACGGCTGGGCTTCAGGGGCTCCTGGAGGTGTTCAGCAATTCCTGGCCTCCTACTTGGCTGAAAGGTGGCATGGGACACCGGGAGGGGCCTCAATCTAACCTGCTAACCCACCCCCCTCAGGACCCCTGGATACTCCAGGGGATTAGAGGATGGCTGGCAGCAGACCGCTTTTGTCCATGCTTGATGCCAGAGACACTGCCAGGACCAGCAGGGCTCCTGCCCACAGCAGAGGAAGGTTGGGTCCTAGACTTAGCATTCTCAAGGTTCCTCAGAGGCCCTGGCCCTGCTGGAGGGGACTGGGTTGCCCAGCCACGAAGGGCATGGCGTAGGCCAGGGAGGCAGAGTTAAATTCTGGGTCTGATCTTTGCTACTGTTCAAGTCGGGCAAGTAAACCCTTCTTTCCTCATCCGTAAAATGGGAATGATAATTGTGCCTCTCTTCTGGGACTGTTGTGAGGAATAAATGCCCAACTTGTGTGTGGACAGGATGGGAGAGAGTTACGCCAAAAGTACCTGACGCTAAACCAGCACCAGTTTATCAGTTGCCCCAGGGACGCGGATTTCTCCCCCAGACACTATGGTCCCCACAGGCCCTCCCCACGCCCAGCTCGGTCACTCACCCTCTGGGTCCCAGTGCGGGGCACCTTCGGCCCACTGCAGTCATGGTTGCCCGCGGTCACCGCCTGCAGCCTGTAGAGTTCCTCAGCCCAAGGACTCCTGCCTTTCTCCGGCCACAGAGCTGCAAAGCCCTGAGCAGGACTCAGAGGGCGGAGCCTGATGTGTAAACCTCGCCCCGAGCACGCCCCTCCGCCGGGCGCCGCTCCAGGCTGGGCAGGGCAAGCCCGCCCCCTTCTGTCTCGCCCCCGCCCTTTCTCCAACTGTCAGCGCCCCTGACACGCCCCTACGCCCCGCCCCTCTCCGTTCCACCCACAGCTTCCCCTTTAGTAGTGGGCACAGCTGGGAAGACCACGCCCCTCGGCTCCCCCCCCCCCCCCCCCCCGCCCCGCCCGCCCCTCCGCCCCTCGCGTCCAGCTCCCTCAAACTCACAGAGTACGTGCGTCTCAGACTTCGGGTTTTGTCAGAACGCCCCTTCCCTACAAGCAATCCTTGTTCCTCCACGACGGAGTGAGCCCGAATTTAGGAGGGAATGAAAGGGCATCCCGGAGGGTGGGGCAACCAGGGATGGTGGAAAGCGTTACATTTTGTTAATCATAAATGTAAACATTCCCGTTTACTGTTTGTGATGTGCCAGGCATAGTTCTAAGATTTTACAAGTATATTATTCTTTATAATTTTTTTATTTTTTTAAAGATTTTATTTATTTCTAGAAAGGGGAAGGGGAGAGGGGAAGAAACAGGAAGGTGTGGTTGCCTCTTGAGCGCCCCCTACTGAGGACCTGGCCTGCAACCCAGGCATGTGCCTTGACTGGGAATCCAACGGGCGACCCTGCTTCTCAAAGGTCCGTACTTACTCCTCTGAGCTACACCAGCCAGGGCTACAAATACATTATTCTTGAATTCTCATCACAATGCTACAAGGTTGGTGCTATCGTTATGCCCATTTATCGGACGTGGAAACTGAGGTTCAGAGAAGGGGACAGACTTGTCCAAGAGCATGCAGTCAGTAAGAGGCAGAGCTTGGACTGGGTTCCCTCTGCAGCTTTATAAAGTTCTGCTCCCCAGTGAAGGGGCGGTTCTAGGTTCAGTTATCTTCATACACAGAAGCTGTGCTCTTCTGTCTCAGGGCAAAGCCATTCAAGAGAGGTCCCAGATCCAGCCCTAGAGTTACTTTTGCTTAGCCGTTTTTTTCCCCTCTATATTTCAATACGCACATCTTATGGTGTGATTTGCACAAAGGCTCTAAGGGTTGGAAAATCTCCCGTGGTTGGGGTTGAGGGGTCTCCCAAGGACATAAAATACATGGCTGCAAGGTACAGGGGTGTCCAACCTGTGACCCGCCGGCCACACACAGCTCAGGATGGCTATGAATGCGACCCAACACAAAATCGTAAATTTACTTCAAACATTATGAGATGTTTTTGTGATTGCGTGTCACAATGTATTTAATGTGTGGCCAAGAAAACTCTTCTTCTAGTGTGGCCCAGAGACACCAAAATGTTGGCCACCCCTGGTAGAAGGTGGTGGATACAATGGGGTGGTGAATGTGCAGCCACTGGAGACAAGCAGTTTCCTGTTCAAATCCCAACTCTGCAACTTTGGCTGAGTGATCTCAGCTTCCCCATCTAATCATAGATTCTTTTACAGTTTTCAGTAACATTTGTTGCTACACCCAGTAAAATGGGTGCTTACTAAATGGAAGCTATGACTGTATCATAACTATTTGCATTTTTGCATGAACTCATCTCACCCTATAACCAAGTTAAGTGACACCTATTTTTCTGGACCAGGTGAAGCAGTGTTGTCCAGCAGAACTGAGGGGGGTGATTCGGGTGTGGGGGCCCCAGGCAGGGGTCCAGTGATTGGGTTTGGAGCCCAACCAGTGGCTGCGCTCATGCTGGAGGTTGCCTAGGGTTTTGGAGTCAGGTGGGTCTTCAAATCTTAACTTACCGTTTACTAGATGTGCAACCTGTCTGGGGCAAATTACTTTCCTCTCTGGTATCTCCTCCCCAGTTTTTGGGTTTTTGTTTTTGCTTTTTTTTTTTTTTTTTTTGTCCTTGAAAAGTGAAGGGCTAAGCAGAATGCCTGGTTTATAGGAAGCACTTGGGAAAGGTGTGAGCCTTTGTTTACGCAGATGTGTGAGTTGGGGGTTCCTCTCCAGGCTCTGTTGGCAGAAGACTGGAAATCCTGCTGCCCCGGGGCCCGCCCTCACCTTCCCCGGTGAACGCCTACCTTTCTGGGGACACAGTCCCAGGGACTCTCTCCTCTTCTGTGTCTCTGCTGGGGTCCTCAGGCATTCTTGTGGGGCTCACCTCCACTGCTGAAGGGTTGAGTTTCATTGCTGGGGTGTCCTCCAGGGGGGCCTCGGTCTCCACTGCTACCTCCTTGGTTGCCTCCTCATGTGCGGGGTCAGGCAGACTTTGGGGCATGAGGTGGGGTTCAGGGCCCATCTCTGGGGCCTCCTTGGCAGCCTGCCGGTCCCGAGACTTCTTGATGCTGGGGCGGGGCATGGTGCCCATGTGGCTGTACATGTCGCTGGAACGGGCATAAGCTGGGGGACTCTTGGGGACTGTAACCATGTCATCCTGCGTAGCCTCGAAGATTTCAGGCTTTAGATTAGACCGGATGGTGCCAGCAGCCGAGGACCGTCTCAGAGTAAAGGAGCGAGGGAGGTTGGAGAGACTCCCGAAGCCCTTGAACTTGAAGAACTCTGGCAGGGAGGAAGAAGAGGGAAAGTATTTAATGACAATGCAAGTAGCAATAATAATAATAACAGATACATGCTGTTCAACTCATCAAGAGTTCAAGGAGCTTAGACCCTGAACTGACACTTCCTCTAATTATTATGTATAATTTGGCAGCTTTGGAGCTGCATAGCCCCGGGCTTAAATCCCTGCTCTTCCCGCTTCCTACCTGTGCAAACTTAGTCAAATCACTTGACCCCTCTGAGCCCAATTCTCCACATTGGTAAAATAAAGATTATAATACCCACCTCCTATGGTCAGTGGGGGGATTGAATAAAAGCATGTAAGTGATATGCTTAACATAGTGCCTGGCACACAGAATATCCTCAAAAACTAATGAAGATGCCCCAGCCGGTGCGGCTTAGTTGGTTGGAGCGTCGTGCCATAACCAAAAGGTTGCAGGTTCAGTTCCCAGTCAGGGCACATACCTAGGTTGCAGGTTCCATCCCTGGTCCAGGTGCATACAGGAGGCAACCTGATGTTTCTCTCTCCCATCAATGCTTCTCTGTCTCCTTTCCTCTTTCCCTTCCTCTCTCTCTAATAGCAATGAAAAGCTGTCTTCAGATGAGGATAAAACTAATGAAGATGATGAAGGTGATGATCGTAATACTGCCTCTGCATTTGCCAAACGCAAACGTGCTGCACATACCACCTCACTGAACTCCCAGCACAAATCAACGACATGAATTTATTCTCTCATTTTCTAGGTGAGGAAATTGAGGTTCAGAGGTGTAAAGTGAACCCCCAAAGTCGCACAGCCGGCAGGGGAAGCGGCGCGTGCGCGCGTGTATGTACGACGCGCTGGGCCAGGGAGTGGTGTCGAAGCACCTGGAGTGGCAGAAGGAATGAGGACACGGCTGTCAAGAGCCCGAGGGTCCCAATCCTTGCAGCTCTCTCCTCCTGTGTGCTGAGCCCTGACACCGTCACTCAGGTGATACCATCTCCTCATTTCTGCAGGGATGCATGTGAATGCCCTCCTTCCTGTCTGTCCCCTCCTCTCAGCCACTGCCTCTGACTTCCCGTCGCCTTCAGATAAGCCTTCCCCACTTCCTCAGCATCCTCTGCCTCCTCAGGTCCTCATAGCCACGGTGAATGTAGGTGAGGTGCCACCATTTGGCGACAGAGGAAACTGAGGCCCAGAGAGGGGAAGGGCTCTGCCCAGGGTCACACAGCCAGGCTGAGCCTGGACAGAGGCCCGGGCTCTGGGCTGCTGGGTCCGTGCTCTCGGGCCTCCTCCCAGTCCTGCCCACCCCTCACTTGTCTTAACCTCTGCCTGACAAACAGCAGAAAACATCGAAGCTCTGCTCTCAGAAAGCTATGCCACGGGGCAGAAGTTGTGCCAACAGCCGGAGGGAGGCCTCCTTTCTTGGCACATGTCTCCTGAACACCGGGGGCGGGAGGAAACAGTAGTGGGGCAAGGAGGGAAACTGAGGCCCAGAGCCCAGGGACATGAGATTGAGCCCGGGTGTATAGCCAGGGCTCTCAGGCAGTCCTCTGGGCCTCAGTCTTTGCATTGGCGGAATGCAGTCATAATCTTTGCCCTGTACACACATGCGTGCAGACACACACACGCACACACAGTGCTGTCAGATTAAACAAATCAGGGTCCGGGAAGCAGAAGTTTGCTGGGACAAGGAAGGGACTGATCTGGGGAAACAGCAATGGGTGGGTGTGGCCCTTCACTGAGTTGCTCTGGGTCCCAGCATCGCTGTTGGTGGGGACAAGAGATAGCACATGATGGTGCGCGTACACACACACACACACACACACACACACACACACACACACACCCCAGTAACTCCCAACCTGAGACCCCATGAGAACCAGGCCCAGAGGTGGCATGCAGGGCGGCAGTCCCAGGTTCCACAAGGTCAGAGAGAGCCAGAGACGGGGACGCACAGATGAGCGGAGAGACGGAGTCGGGGTGGGGAGAGGCAGAGACAACAAAAGCAGAGATGGAGACCCAGGGCAGCCAGAGACAGAGAGGGATGCTGGGCCAGGGTGAGGGAGAGATGCTGACATGGAGACCCCGAAGCAGAGACCTCTGGAGAGAGACAGAGGGGACAGAAAGAGAAACAGAAACAAGGCAGAGTCATAAAAAAGCAGATGCAGGGAGAGGCTGAGACGGACAGGCGGAGGGATGGACAGTGCACTCACTGAACTTTCTGCTGGCCTTCCTGGGGCCCTCTGTCATCTTGGCGAGTCCAGCAAAGCCGCTGTCCTGCGGGCAAGCGGCCGCTTGAGGCTCTGGACATGGACGTTGAGGTGCCTCCCTCACCTCCCCTTCCCCTTTCACATAACCCTCTCACTCACTTCCTCTGTGTATTTTTAAACCAGTGAAACTCCCACAGCCTCACCCTCCCCATCCTCCCCACAGTGGGGGGGTGGCTGGGACCTCCCCTAAGTCCAGACTCCTGTGGGCCCCCTCCTTGTGCTCAGCAGCAAGCAGGGAGCTGGGAGCAGACCACAAGCCCGTGGGACTGGAAGGTCTGGGAAACAAACCACAGGCTCTGGGAACAGAGCCCGCTGGGCTGGGGGCCACTGGGGACCTGCCAGCAGCTGCCGGGGGGTCTGGCCACAGGGCTGGGAGTGTTCAGGGAGTCAGGCTTGTGCAGAAGGCAGTGTCTAAGCCTGCCTGGGGATGGCCCGGCAGCTGGGGGTAGAAGGGAGCTGTGGTTAGGCTTGCGGGCTCTGGGACCACCTAGACCCAAGTTCAGGTCCTGGCTGGCCACTTTGTCACTGGGTGATCCTGGGCTCAGGCACTCACCACCCTGAGCCTCTTTCCTCCCTGTGAGCAGCGCTATTTGCAGTGCCCACCTCATAGTGCTTGGTGCAAAGCCTGGCACAAAATCAGTACCCAGCAAGGCATGGTCACTCCTTTTCAAGCTGCCAGGGACAAGGCGATAATTTGGTCCACCACACAGATTGGACAGAGATAGGCGAGATTGCACCAGGTCATACAATGGATTGGTGGCATGGACTGAGTTACAACTTGCCCTTTCAGCCCTGGCTGGTGTGGCTTAGCAGGATGCGTGCCGGCCTGCAAACTGAAAGGTCACGGGTTCAATTCCCGGTCTGGGCACATGCCTGGGTTGCAGCCAGGTCCTCGGTCGGGGGCACATGAGAAGCAACCTATCCAGGTTTCTCTGGCACATCAATGTTTCTCTTCCTTTCTTTTTTCCTCTCTGTAAATAAAATCTTAAAAAAAACCCAAAACAACAAACACTGCCTTTTCAAGTCCCTTAGTTCACAGCCTGGTGCTTTTCTACCCTACAACCTGTGCCTGGGGTGGGGGGGTGTACACAACTCGCCTGGGCAGGCTGGAGATGAGGAAATGAAACCGCCCCTACACAGGTGGTCCTGAACACCTGAGGAGGCTGTCAACAGCTGCCAAGCTTGGGGGCGGGGCCACAAGGCCCGGAGCTTCAAGTCCCACCTCTGCAGGCTCCAGATAAGCTATTGGAGCCTCCGAAGCGTCAGTCACCCAATCTCTAGAATGGGCACCGCTGCAAGGTAAGCAGTCAACCCACAGAGGCTGCAGCAGGCTTGACGTTATTATCCCTGGGCTGGCAACCGGGGCTGTGAGAGAGAGCGCCCAGGGTCACACAGGGGCCTGCGTAAAATAATGACAACTAGTATCTCCTGATCACTTACTTATATTCCAGCCACAGAGCTCAGTCCTTCTGCCCTAAGTGATAAATGTTGTTCCTCTTGCCCCCTTTCTATAGATGTGGAAAGTCAAGCTGCTCGGAGCTGGAATCTGCTTGCCCAGCTATGGCCCTAACTTCCGCGCCCATGGCCCCCCGCAAACCCCTGGCTGCTGCGTGCCGGGCCTGGGGAGGGGAGGGGTCTGGCCAGTGGGATGAGGGGGAACCTCAGGCCTTAGGAGGGAAAGGAGCCCAGCCCACAAGACCAAGGCACCAGGGTCTGGCTCAGGGACAGACTGGATGGGAACAGTATTCAAAGTTTCAATGAGAGGGCGGGGTTTCTGGGCATGGACTTGGTAGAAAATGGGGATGCAATTCTAGCTTACTGTACTAAGCATTAACTAAGAGTCAGGCCTGGAGCTAGAAGCTTCCACAGACTGACCTGTGAGGGAAATCCTGGTACGGTCCCATTTCACAGATGAGGAAGGTGCGTCTAAAAAGAGACCAGAGACGTCCTGGCTGGGTGGCTCAGCTGGTTGGAGCATCGTCCCGTACACCAAAAGTTTGTAGGGGTTCAATCCCTGATCGGGGCACATATAGGAGGCAGCCAATTGATGTTTTTCACATCAATTATTTTCTCTCTCTTCCTTCCTCTCTCCCTAAATTCAATAAAAATATCCTCCAGTGACAATGGAAAAAAAAGACCAGAGACTAGACAGAAAGGCAGGTGCCCTAGCTCCCAGACTGGTACCTCCCATTCCTGGGTTGTTGTTAGAAGGAGAGGGGCCTGTTTCCTGGCAGTAGCAGGGTATCTTCCTAGCGGGTCCCTCACTTCTCCCCCAGGAGGTGGTCTCAGTGACGTGGGCTGACTGCTGGGGCTGTGGCATCAGCCAGAGCTGGCTTCCTGGCCAGACCCACTCTTTCTTTTTAATTTTATTTTTACTTTAGGTTTGAATTTTTTTTTTTTTTAAAGAGAGGAGAAAGGAGGGAGAAAGAGAGGGTGAGAAACATCAATATGCAGTTGCCTCTCACACACTCCCTACTAGGGACCTGGCCTATAACCCAGGCATGTGTTCTGACTGGGAATTGAACAGGCAACTCTTTGGTTCGCAGGCCAGCACTCAATCCATTGAGCCACACCAGCCAGGGCTATTTTTACTTTAGATTTACTTTAGATTACTAGAGAGGAAAAGGAGAAGACATGGTACATCAGTGTGAGAAACATCCATTGGCTGCCTTCTGTATGCACCCCGACTGGGGACTGAACCTGCAACCAGACACCTGCCCTGACGGGGAAGCAAAGCAGTGACCTTTTAGTTCGTGGAACGACTCCCAGCCCACCAAGCCACACTGGGCCGGGGCTCGGCCCACTCTTGACTTACTGTGTGACCCTTCATAAGAGGCTTTACTGCTCTGGGTCTCAGCTTCCTTATCTGCAAAATAGGTCACAGTGGCCCTCACTTCCTGGGGTGGCTGGATGAAAGGAGCGAAGATGGGCCTCGGCCAGCGCTCTGTGGCTTCAGCAACACCCCGGCAGTTGGCACTGAGGGGTGGGTGTGGCTCAGCCCAGGAAACCCCAGCCTCAGGCCCATGGCGTGAGGCCCGGTCCCGGCCCCCGAGGCTACGCGGTGTGGTGGGGTTGCCTAGTCAGAGCTGGGGGCTCTGTCGTTGGCTGTGGTGCCCGGGCAGTTGCAACATCCCCGGGAGAATGAATGGGGCTCAGTGTGGCAGCTCCTCTGAGCTCAGAGTCCCCTTTGTGCTGCTCAAGTGGCCGTTTGGAGTGCGGCTGGGGACCTGCAGGCGGGTGGCTGTCCCGCAGGTCCTCCTCGGCCTGTGCTGGAGGCCAGCCACGCTCTGCTCGGCAGCCCTGGACACACAATGCCTTCCTTCCCTTGGGCCTTTGCTTGGGCTGGACCCACACCTGGAATTTGGCCTCCGCTGAGTCCCTCAGGTCTAGTTCGAACCTTAGTGCCCCCAGGAACCCAGCTCTGATTTCTGTCCCGTCCTGCTTTCTCTCGTCCCTAGTCTGTGACCCAGCTGCCTGTAGTTTGGCTGGGTAGCACGTGGGGCTGGAGGCCTTCAGCTTCATAGTCAAAGGCATTTGACTCTGACAAACCTGCGCCCAGACCCCTCCTGCATGTGTGACCTTGGGCAAGTCACATCACCTCTTTGAGCATCGCTTTTTCCCCATCACTAAAAAGGGACAAATATAACATCCCTCACATGACCCCACGGCAATGAAATGAAACATTTATGCTGAGGGTGTCATCCGTATTACATTCACTGGCGTCTATTTGCATGTTCCAAACAGACCGCAGGCTCCCTGAGAGGAGCTGGCCTTGTGCATCCACATCAGCTCCACCCTGTTGTACTGCAGTTCCCAGCAGACTCCTGTCCCTGGCTTCCCCAGTAGTCAGTATTGGGGGGCAGTATAGGATGATGGTCAGCGACACTGGCCTTTGAGAGAGGATACCTGGCTTTGAATCCCAGCCTCACAGCTTTCTGGCTGTGCAGGAATAATAGCAGCCAGAAAGAGGGGTTCTGTAAAGTTCCAGTGGGGCAACACATATTATCAACACAGGGCCAGGGACAGAGTTGGCACCCGGCTGGTGGGGGGCAGAATGTCCATGGTGGTATGGGGCTACGGGTGTCACACAGCCATTCTCCGTCCTGTACCCCCTCCATCCAGGGACCCCTCGTCTCCCTGGACATGCCAGCAGCCAAGAGCAGCCCAAACCTCATGACCCTGTCCTCCCCTTCTCCCCATATGCCGCCACCCTGTCCCTGCTCAGGGGAAGAAAACAGAGGGTCCAGGCCAGAGTCAAACACATGGCCAGGAGCTCTCTTTCCTGGTCTGTGCCTCAGTTTCCCAAACTGTAAAATGGCAGCAGGACTCAGAGCCTGGTCAGCCAGCCAGCAAACATTTATTGAGGATTGGCCCCATGCCCTCCTGGCTGGCTTAGCGGATCCATGGAAGCAGGAAGCATCTCCTTCCAACCAGCAAGTCAGAATTTAAAGTCAGTGAGAAGTTGTTTCTGGCTAGAACCTCGTTTCTTCTTCCACCTGGGTGACCTGGAGTCCCAGGCCCAGGCAGCCTTCCGAAGGGCTTCTGACATCTCCTGCCAGTCCCCTCCCCCAGGAAGGCTGAGGCACAAGGCCCCAAAGGGAAGTGACGGGCGATGTTGGGGTTCAGGCCAACAATTGTGGGGTGGAGGTAACGACAACACCGGAACTTCGGCTTCTGCCCACAGGATGTGACTTAGGGAGAGTTCGTGGAAGTAGGCAGAGGCCCCAGCCTGAGAGCCTGACAGTGGAAGCCACCCAAACCCACGGCAGGCCCCCGACGCTACCACCCCCTCCCACACTTCCCAGGGGCATCCGGGGCACCCATCCAGCGGTGCTGTGCCAATACTGTGCCCTAGTGCCACCCCAGCCCAAATGGGCAGGATCCTGACATGGGTAAGCACTTGGGGTTTGTGCCAGACTGACTTGGTTGAAATACCAGTGTGGCCACTGGCCAGCCGTCTGACCCTGGCCAGGTGATGTCATCTTTGTTTCAATGTCCTTGTGTATGCAATGGAGGTGACAGAAGTATCCACCTCCCGTGGCTGAGTAAGAATTGAGATAATTCCCATAAGTTGCTAGGTGTACTGCTTGGACCATCTCTTTTCCCTCAATAAATTCTAATTACTACAATTATTATTTTCTCCCTCCTTTGCTGTCTCCAGTTTAGCCAGTGGCCTCCCTGCTTTTCACAGTGTACCCATGAAGCTGACCCCAGGTCACTCCCTGATATGTCACTGCCTAAAACTCTTGCTGGATCCGCGCTGCCCTCCGGAGAGAGCTCCTTGCTGCTCACCGGACCCTCACTGCCCTCCCTAAAATGGCCCTCTCCCAGAACAAGGTCTCTTGGAACACCAGGATCACCAGACCCATTCCCACCTCTTCCTGCAAGGATGCTTCAAGGCCAAGTGTGTGGGGGTCTGAACGGGAAGGCTTCCTGCAGGTGGAGAGGGTCCTAGGCTGCAACCAGGGAGCACAGGCCAAAAGCAGGAAGGAGGAGACAGAAAACACAGGAGATTTATGTGGCCACAGCCCAGGAGGGGAGCTGGAAAGAGCCTCAAATATCACAGTTGTGTTTTTCCTGAAGACAGTGGAGGGAAATACATGCAGACTCTCCTTCAGAATGATCTGGGGGGTCCTGTGAGCAGGACAAAGGCAGAGGCCAGAGAGGGGAGGCCAGGACTCAGGATCCATGGGCAGAAGACTGAAGAGGAGGGGCAGATCCAAGGTAGAAGAAGACAGAGGAGGTGGAACACAGCTTTGCTAGGGGCTTGTTGTTGAGTTAAGTAGAGCAGGAGGAAGAATAGAGAGGCCCGCGGAGCCAGAAAGATATCAGAAAGATGTTGGGGAAAGGCTGGGGCAGGGGAAGCGGGCATAGGATCAAGGAGGGAGACACTGGGTGAATGGCCAGTTTGGCACCTAGTACAAGGACAGCAGGCCTCATCCAACACCACTACTTACTGTACTCCTGGCCAGACTGTGAATAGCCTGGATCAAGAGAATCATTTTCAGACAGACCAGGTTCGAGTCCCAGCCTTGTCACTTTGTGATCCTGGTTGGGTAAATGACCTCACCTCTCTGAGCCTCAATGTCCTCTTCTGTAAAATGGGTTAGTGATCCTGACTCTGAGGCTGTTGATTCAGGATTCAACGAGGACGCCTCGCGTTTCCCGAGCACACAGGGCTGCTGAGTGAGTGCTAGTTATTTTTGTGATTACTGACCCAGGGCTGCACCAGCTCCGGAGGAGCTCGGTGGGGACAAGGTCCCTCCCAGGGAACGGCAGGGTCTAAGGCTGGAAGGCCCGGGCGTTGCTCGCTCACCGCTTCCAGTGTCGCCGCGCCCCCTGGCGGCCATCGGTTGCCATGTCAACGGCGGGTGGCGGAGGCCCGGGGAGGCGGTGGCGGGGGCCGTTCTCTCCTCCCAGGACCGAAGGCCGTTCCCTGGCTGTCTCCCGCCTTCACCCGTGGAGGGGGGGGACACTCCGAGCCGGGGAGGAAGGGGCTCCCCGCGGCAGCTGGCACGTGGCGGTAAACTGAGGCACGCGACAAGGCGCCCCACAGCCAGGTGTCGAGTGCGGGCCCCACCTCTAGAGGCGGAGGAGGGGCAGCGGGCGGTGACGCGCTGAGGGCCGCCCGCGAACAGCGGGCGGGCGGCGGCGGCAGGTGCGGCCGCGGAGGGCGGGAGGGAGAAGGGAGGGGGCGGGCGGAGGGGGAGGGGAGGGCAAGGCCCGGGCACCTCCCCCTTTATAACGCGCCCCCTCCCGGGCTCTCGGGCCGCCTCCTTGTCGGCTCTTCCCGTCTCGCCCCCTCGCCCGGCAGCCCCGGGCCCGGGCCCGGCCAGGGAGCCCCCAGGCCGCGGCTTGGGGGCCGCCCCCCCGCCTCTCGCCGCCCCGCGCAGCCCGGCGGAGGCGGCGCCGTCGGAGGAGGAGGAGCAGGGCACTGCGGCTGGCCCGGGATCGGGCGCCAGAGCGGCAGCGGCTTCGGCAGCAGCGGCGGCCCGGGCCAATGCAGCGGGACGCACCGCCCCGAGCCCCAGCTCCGGCGCCCCGACTTCCCGCGCCCCCGATCGGGGTCGCCGCCAGCAGTGGCGGCGGCGGAGGCGGGGGCAGCGGTGGCGGCGGAGGCGCCTCTGCAGCTCCGGTTCCTCCTGGCCTCCCGGGAACTACAAGTCCCAGGGGGCCTGGCGGCGGGCGGCGGACGGAAGAGGCGGGGTCAGCGCCGCGAGGCCGGAAGTGGCCGTGGAGGCGGAAGTGGCGCGGCCGCGGAGGGGCCTGGAGCACGGCGGCGGGACCCGGAGCGGGAGCGGCGGCGGCGGCTGGGGGCGGCGGTGGCGCTCTAGGGGCTGCCATGGCAAAGCAGTACGATTCAGTCGAGTGCCCCTTTTGTGATGAGGTGTCCAAATATGAGAAGCTCGCTAAGATCGGCCAAGGCACCTTTGGGTAAGGCTGGGCCCGGAGGGACCCAGCGCCCTGGGCCTGCACCCCTCAGGGCCGACGTCGAGATGCACGGGGGCGGACCGGAGGTGGTCTGGGGGCCACCTATCCCTAGACTTGTACCCTGGTCTTGCTAGGCCGCTGTGCTTCCCGCCCGGGCCTGACGGAGCTGGCTGGCGGGGAGGAGCCTGAGGCCCGTGATGGGGGACGGGGAGGGGTTGCTGAGAGGAGCTTGTGAGGGGAGCAGGTTCTCTCCCTGAGATGCCTGGGTGAGAAGGGACTTAGGGGAGGAAACAGAAGCTCGGAGAGGGACTCCAGAGAGCGGATGCGGGGGGGCTGGGTAGCCGAGTGCCCTAGGTACCAGGCCCCGCCCCGCCCTGGAGTCGCTTTTTTCCTGCCTTCCTCTTCTGGTGGGGGAGGGGTAGGCTCTGCAAAAGTGGCCTGATGAGCTTTGGGTCTCCGTCTCCGCCTGCAGGGAAGTGTTTAAGGCGAAGCATCGCTTCACTGGCCAAAAAGTGGCTCTGAAGAAAGTACTGATGGAGAACGAGAAAGAGGGGGTGAGTATTGGTCAGGTGGCAGGCAGCCGACTCCTGGGCACGTGAGTTTTCACCCTGTTACTTCTGGGACTCTCACGTTGAGAATAAATGTGTGTATAGTAGTCTGGGAATTTCCATAGTACAGAGAGTTTGACTTCTAAATTAAATCTTGTAGTTCAAATGCTTTAAAGTATTTGGGATTTTATTCTTAGGCATATGTGTTTGGGGCCAGGAGGGGGAGCTCATTGCATTGAGTGCCTAGCGTATTATGAAGTTAGGAAGTTAGGAAACCCTTTTTCCTTAGTCTTTAATTTTGTTTACTACTTAAAAAAGCACATGCAATGGCTTTAGAAGGGTGTCTAATACTCCACTGAAAAATAGCAGTACCCTCTTTCCCCTCAGCTGTGGTCCAGCTTCTAGAGACCTAATTCTTAGCACGGAAACTTTTTAATAGGCATTTTATTGTTTTTGTTACCACTCAGCAAGTTAAACAGGCATAGAGCTAAAATTTAAGAGCTGAAGAAGCTATGGAGCATTTAGTGACTAATAGCGAAGAGGTTAAGTACTACTATTTCCATTCATTGTCTCAAATCAACTCCCCGAGGGGCGCATACTGTTCACTTTACACCCATTTCCCAGATAAGGCATCTGTGATAGCTGATTTCAGAGCCCACAATTTTACTCTGTCTCCCAACCCGTGCCCCTTGGTACGTACCCCATGGCTAGTTTGTTGGTCTGTCCTGTGCTTACTCACTTCTGACCCCCTTCTCTCCTTCTCCCATACAGTTCCCCATTACAGCCTTGCGGGAAATCAAGATCCTCCAGCTTCTAAAACATGAGAATGTGGTGAACTTGATTGAGATCTGTCGAACCAAAGGTAAGTCGCTGGGATCTTATTTCCATTTTCAGATGAAGTAAGTGAGGCTTATAACTTAAGGCTTTGTTTGCAACATTGGAACTGGATACACTTAAATTGCCTCTTCTTAACCCAGACATCCCCTCTGTGACCGCCTTCTCCAGTCCTTTCATCATAGCTGGTGCTTCCCCAGGGCTGGCTGCGGCACCTGGCCCAGCGGGGGCCCTCAGGAAGCATTTTACCCTTGAAGGAATGCACGGACGGATGCCGATGTCCCTGGGTTGGAGGAGTGTAGGGACAGGTTGTGGGAAGATGAGTTGCATATGGGATTTTTGACTTTCTTCTTCTTGCTCCCCTCCCCTCCATTCTTCCCGCCTCAGCTTCCCCCTATAACCGCTGCAAAGGCAGTATATACCTGGTGTTTGACTTCTGCGAGCATGACCTTGCTGGGCTGCTGAGCAACGTGTTAGTCAAGTTCACACTGTCTGAGATCAAAAGAGTCATGCAGATGTTGCTCAACGGCCTCTACTACATCCACAGGAACAAGGTGGGGGAGGAGAGACCAAGGCTTGGTCTGGCCGTTGCTCCCACTGCTGGGTGGGTATGGCCAAAAGACCCTTGGGAATCTAACTGAGCCCTCACTCTTGCCCTTCCCACAGATCTTGCATAGGGACATGAAGGCGGCCAATGTGCTCATCACTCGAGACGGGGTCCTGAAACTGGCAGACTTTGGGCTGGCTCGGGCCTTCAGTTTGGCCAAGAACAGCCAGCCCAACCGCTATACCAACCGGGTGGTGACGCTCTGGTATCGGCCCCCGGAGCTGTTGCTTGGTGAGGACCCCTGAGTGGGCAGACGGGGGTGGGCTAGGCATTTAACCTGGCTTCAGCCCCCCGCCCCGCTGCCAGGGCTTCTTGAGCCGCCAGCCCCAGGGCATTGCGTCTCAGGAGGCCCTCGGGCTCAAGGGGCCCCCCTGGTGCGCTCTTCTTCCCAGGGGAGCGGGACTACGGCCCCCCCATTGACCTCTGGGGTGCTGGGTGCATCATGGCGGAGATGTGGACCCGCAGCCCTATCATGCAGGGCAACACGGAGCAGCACCAGCTTGCCCTCATCAGCCAGCTCTGTGGCTCCATCACCCCCGAGGTGCGTGGCCAGGCTGCCTGGGCCCCTGGTTCCTGCAGGATGCAGAGATCCAGAAGTCTCCCTGGCAGGGGAGGAGTGGGGAGTGGAACAGAAGGCGAGCTCCTCTCTGGAGAGGTGGCTGGTGGAGGGACAGGGCCTGCTCTGGGGAGCCACACAGGCCGTCCCGGCTCCATCACCAGCTCTGGCCTTGGGAAAGGCATTTGAACTTCTCACCTCAGAGTTCCTCTTCTGTGAGACGGCTGTCTGGGTCAGCTGTGGCGCGCACACTCCAGGCGGCTTGTGTAAAAAGCGCCTGGCATTAGGGGTGCCAGATACGTGGTCACTGCTGCTTTCACCTTGGAGGGGTTGAGTTCGCCCTCCAGGGGTGGTCTGGGAGCATCTGAATGGAGATGGTTTAGTTCATTCAGGCACTTGACCGAGGGACAAGCTGTTCATCTCCTGACCTAACTTCCTTCTGTCTCCATGCCCCCGCCCCAGGTGTGGCCAAACGTGGACAAGTACGAGCTCTTTGAGAAACTGGACCTAGTCAAGGGCCAGAAGCGGAAGGTGAAGGACAGGCTGAAGGCCTACGTGCGTGACCCCTACGCCCTGGACCTCATTGACAAATTGCTGGTGCTGGATCCCGCGCAGCGCATTGACAGCGACGACGCCCTCAACCATGACTTCTTCTGGTCTGACCCCATGCCCTCGGACCTCAAGGGCATGCTGTCCACCCACCTGACGTCCATGTTCGAGTACCTGGCGCCGCCACGCAAGAAGGGCAGCCAGATCGCCCAGCCTTCCACCAACCAGAGCCGCAATCCCACCACTACCAACCAGACGGAGTTCGAGCGCGTCTTCTGAGGGCCGGCCGTGGCTGCTTCCTGTTAGGGCCCGATGTGCTTTCCTTCTGCGGTGTAACTCACCCCGTGGAGAGGATGGGGCGTTTGAGTGTGTTCTCTAGTGCAGATTTTCTGTAATCCCCCCTGGGCGTGGGGAATGCCAGCTGAATGGACTGGAGCAAAGCGTTGGCGGAGAGTCCAGGAGGGCCCTGGCGCCGCCTCCCCTGGGTCCCTGGCCTGCCGGCGTACGACCGAGGGTGCCGTGTACCTTAGCACAGGAACAGGCCAAGGGGAGCAGTGCACCCCACCAGTGACTTTGTACGTTCCCGGTGTGATGGGAGGAGGGGCCAGGTCCCTCGCCTGTCCCCGGTTTTTCTCTTGGGATGAGAAACTTGTGTTGGGGGGCAGCCAGCCAGGGACGCGGGCTGCTCTTGGCCTGACCCCGAGAAGCACCGGGGCCAGCAAAAACTTGGTTTCTTCGGTAGGAGAATTTTATCATGTTTCTTTTACTCAGTTGTGTAGAGACGTTTTTGGACAGTTGACCCAGTTACAATTAAAGTTGGCTCCTTTTCTCTGTTTTTCAGCAAGTGGCTATATGCTTTGTCCTGTGCTCAAGGCTCCCGGCTCTTACCCAGCAGCCAGCTGCTCGGGCTTTCCTGTTGAAACTTGATTTGTTACATCTTGACTCTTCTTTGTCCTAGTTCGTGTCCCAATGTAATTGTACAGAAATTCTCTTTTTTTTTTTTCCTGTCCGGTACCTTCCAGAACACTTGGCCATCTTGCTCCCCAAAGGGCAGGAACCACGGAGCTCTCTTGCTCCTCTCCACTCTGTCAGAGGAAGAGGGAAGACAGATGAGAAAAGGGTCACGGTTCCCTGGTGAGGGAACAGTTCCCGGGACCTGCGTCCGCAGGGAGGCCCAGCCGGGCCCAGTCTTGCGTGGCCGATGGACAGGCGTGTTCGCATTTGGAGCCTGCAAAAGGCTATTGGTGGAATGACGACAAGGACACCTGTAGCTCACAGGGTCCCTCCAGGCTCTTGGGGGAGGCAAGAGGAAGTGACCAGAGAGCTGAAGGATCTGTATGGGCTGAGGGGATGGCAGGGGCTTGGATTAAGGTGGTGAGGGGGCAAGAGGACAGAAGTCAATATGAAGGCTGGGTCTCAAGTTGGGGACAGGCACATTTGAGGTAAATTCTACATCTTGTCACAGACGCAGGCCTCTCAAAGGGGGCCCAGGAAGAAAGCTTGGCAAAACGCTTCACCGGGACTGTGAAAATGGGCCCAGGTCACAGCTTCACACCAGTGGAAGTAAGAAGTCTCTGGACCATGGATTAGTTTTTTGGGGGCTGCTGTAACAAATCACCACCATCATGGCGGCTTTCAAATCGCATCTGTTCTGTTGGACTTGGAGGCTAACAGCTCAAAACCTAGATGTGGGCAGGGTTGGTTTCTTTCAGAGGCTCTGAGGGAGTCTGTTCGCTGCCTCTCTCGGCTTCTGGTGGCTGCCCACAATCCTTGGTGTTCTCGGCTTATAGACGTGTCACTGTTCTGTTTCCTCGTGGTGACTCAATGAGGACACTGGTCCTCAGATTTAGGATTAACCATGACCCAGTGTGACCTCATCTTAACCAACTAAAGGCCTTTTCAAAGGTCTCATTCTGAGCTTCCGGGTAGAAGTGAATTTTGGGAGGATGCTCTTCAGCTCAGAACAACTAGTAGTCAAAAAAATCTCCAAAAACAGCGAGATGTCCTATGACAAAAAGTTGCTAGGTTTTTAAATGACAGATAATTGTTTTGGTTTAATTGTCCAAGGTACTTTTTTTTTTTTTCTCTCCCTCTAAAGGATAAAGTGTTTTTATAAGAGGCTCATATTCTTGGACCTAGGAATTCCCCTATGAATTTTTTAGGAGCAATTGTATAGTCTGTTATCTCCCTGGAAGAGGGGAGAAGGGAGACGTGGCCCACTCAGGCATGCCAATGTTTAGATGTTGTCTTGGAATCTGGGCAACAGATGATGTAAGATGAGGAGGGGGAGGCCCTGGCTGGTGTGACTCAGTGGATTGAGCACCAACTTGTGAACCAAAAGGTCACTAGCTTGATTCCCATTCAGAGCATATGCCTGGGTTGCGGGCCAGGTCCCCAGCTGGGAGCGTGTAAGAGGCAACAGATCGGTGTATCTGTCACACTGATGTTTCGTTTCTTCTCTTCCTCCCTCCCTTCCCCTCTCTCTAAGAAGTAAGTAAATAAAATCGTTTTTTAAAAAAAAAATAAGTGACCAGAGGGAGAGTAGGTTCCAGAAACTAAGGGACAGAATATTTTGGGAGGAGGGGATGATCATTTAAATGAATTCTGCTGATGGGTCCAAAATACAGGAGGGCTGCCATTGGATTTGCCCACGTGGAGTCCGTGGTGACCCTGGCAAGAGCCATTGAGCTGAGTGCTTCCTTCGAAACCCTGCGGGGGGCAGCAGGATCGCGGGAGAAGAGGAGGAAGGGAACTGAGGACTGAGCAGGAGCTTCTCCCATGACGGAGGATTAAGAACAAGCTGGTCTCATACAGTCTCAGACAATAGCCGTGACTTAACAGAATGACCCAGTAGAGAAGGTGCATGTTGGTTCTTGTCCCATAGACAGAAGGGGCACATGACTGAGTGTACAGTGGCCACCCTGGGGCCTGTAACCTCAAAGGCTGTGCCCCTAACACGTTCTCTGCCACCTCCGCCCAGTGTGTGCATCCTGTCCAGGGCAGCCCCACGTGTGCAAAAGTGTAAACCTTCACCAGCATAAATAAGAGCAGTGCTTCAGCCTCAGTGGACGTCCCACCCCCACGCAAGCGGTGTGTGGCGCACCTCTAACAAGGCAACACCTGCACTGCTGGTCAGGGCCCTGGGGTGGAACGCTGGGCCGTGAGGGAGGATGTAGGGATATATGCCCTGTGCCAGAAAGACGTTCCAAAGGCAGCAGGTGGAAAACATACTGCTTGAGCTCGTATTATAAGAAAAATGGGAGGAATCACTAAAACTACCCATGGTTATTTGGGGTGGTTCTATCCATGCGTCGGTGTTTTCTCATTTTCTGAATTCGTATGTTTATTCATGCAATTAAACCATATTTCAAAACAACCAAAGAAGGCCCTAAACACTGGAGCTTCTGGCTCCAGGCTCCCCCTACACCCCACCTCCCCATGGGACCCCCCAGAAGGAAGGTCAGGAGTAGGGGCAGGGCAGGGCAGGTCTGTCTGTCAGCTTCAGCCCCCAACCCTGGTGTGAGGGGCTTCATCCAGGTGGGTGGAGGTAGGTGTGTGTCCCAGAACAAAAGCTCCCAGGGCCTGCAGGGCCATTACCCCAGGGCACTTAGAGTAGCATCTGAGTGAGCCAGCAAGAGGTGTGCAAACAGGAACATCACTGCCAGCTTGTTTGGACTGGCCTCTGGGCCCTCAGTGTCACCCTGCAGGCAGGGAATGGACCTGTTCTGGCTTCTTTCCGACCAATGATTTGGTGCAACACAGCCTCTCCCCCCAGCAAGCACATACTCCCTAGGTCGGGAGTGCCACTGAATCCTGTCCCCTTCCTCTTGGATCCCAGCCAGGCCACACCAGGACAAGCAGGCTCCAGCAGTAACAGAGGCCTGCTGAAGCCAGCCCCAAGGGCTGCAAGCCTCCCACGTGCCTCTCCCTCAGTGCCCTGCCTGCCAGCTCACCTTGAACTGCCACCGAGTTGTTATTTAACTCATGGAAATGCTGCACTCTGGAACCCTCAGGGAGGACAAGAGGTCCCTGGGCAGATCCCAAGAGGAGAGCAGGGACCCAAGAGCTTCCCCCTGCACGCCCGGGGAGGCCCTGGGCTTCTGGGTGGAAAGGAGGCGGGGTTTCAGGTATCCCCTCAGCTCCCTGGCCCGCCTCCGGCCCAGCTGAAGGCCAAGCAGAGCGACCTTGGCTTGACAGAGGTCACCTGTGATCACTTTCTGTCTGTCCCGGTGGGGAGCATGAAGTTCAGGGATGAAAGGTGCCAAGTCCCTGGCTACCTTCTGGCCAGTCGCTGAGAAGCTGTGGCGGGAAGCAGCCATGGAGCAGCTGAGCGCTTCCGGGGGGCCTTTCTCAGCTAAACCTGCCTCCTTCCAGGTAGGAGAACACACTGACCTTGGGCAGGCGGCCTGCCTCTCTAAGCCTTAGTTTCTTTTGGACGAATGGGTATAAATATCCCTCAGGGGTCCAAGACGGTCCACAGCGATAGTCCCACACTTGGGAACCACAAGGAAAAACCTTGTTATTGATAAACCTTGTGCTAAAGGCCTGGGGCGACCAAGGACCCCTGTTGACCTCACAGCTCCGCCTTGAACTCCAAAGGCTCCACAGCAGCCCCCACCCAGTGAGGTGGTGGCGGGGCTCTGGAGGGGTGGCCTCTAGAGCAGAACTGGGTGAAGGGCAGGCGTGGCTGGTGAGAGAGGCCACATCTGGGGTCCCCCTGTGTGCCAGCCCTGTTAACATGATCTGCAGGCTGGATTTGGCCTGACAGAACTCTCAGGACTGCTCCGTGAAGGACTGTTAGTCTCATTTTAATAATGATAATAACAACAGCAATAAAGGCAACATTAACCGAGTTCTCACTACTTGCTTGGCCCTGTGCCCATTGTCACAATCTGTCCGTCACAGATCTGAAACCATTACTGTCTGTGTTTTATAGATCCAGTAGGTGTAGTTAAGAGCCGTTAAGGCCTCAGCGCTTTAAAGATCTCAAACTCTGGCACTTGGGTGGAGCCTGGGCTCTGGGCTCAGCACCCTCTCGCTCGGCCTCATCCAGCCCTCGGCCCCATCCAGCCCTTGGCCCTGCTTCACAGATGAAGCCGCAGGGCTCAGCACAGCCAGGAGGCTCCCCAGGGTCCGCAGCAGAAGCCTCCTAGTCTGACTCAGGCGGAGACTGGTGGGAGCTGGGGATGGGAACCCTGGGCTTGGCTACAAGGGAACGAGCGTGGAGATCTAGGATCATGTCCGCTAGACACTAGACAAGGCATGTCACCTCACCAAGCCTCTGGTTCCTCCTCTGTGGAATGGGGACCACAAGAAGGTGCCTCCCTCCCTTCCCGTGCCTTCGGAGGCTGCGCTCAGGGCCAGGAATGCACAGGCAGCAGCCCCTCAGCCAGCGTTGCCTGGGGCTGTGCCCCAGGCCGGGCCATGCCTCCCCTCCAGACACAACTTTCTGCCCAGCAGGAGAGGCGAGGTGGCTCCTCTGAGTTCACTTAGGGCCCCATGCTTAAGAGACCAGGGCCCGGGAGAGACCAAGTCAATTGCCCGGGGTCACGTGGGGTGGGTCCCTCACCAGGGGAGAAAGGATTGAGGGCAGCCCCCAGGGAGCGGGGGGTGGGGTGGGGCTCCTCACCAGCAGTCGGGCTTCCCTGTGAAGTTAGAGCCAGCTCAAGGCCAGAGCTTTGTTGACCAGATGACCAGGTCACCTCACGGGGCACAGAGCAAGTGGAGCAGGGTCCACGGGTGGCCTGAGGGTGGAGTCCGGGGCCCCTGAATGACTAAGTCGCTTCCCCCGTTAGGCCTTTGTGGCCTCCCCTGAGAAATGGGTCCCAGAACAGAAGGTCCCTCTCAGGGTGGGTGAAGATCCGGTGAGACAGGTGCATGTAAATGTCTCTGCACAGTGAAAATGCCTGGAAAGAACCCACATCAACTATCATGTAAGAAAATCCAAGTTACAAATGAAAAAAATTAGCCAGAGGTTCCCCAGCTCGATCAGAGAGGCAGAATCAGTAGCCCCGGAAACCAAACAGAACTGGGACTGAGCTGAGTCTTTTTAGCTGGTCACCTTCTCAGGTGACTCCTCTCCTTGGGCCCTCAGTTTCCTCACCTGTAAAAATAGGCTCAGCACAGTGCCTGGCAAGGAGAAGCCTCGATAAACCTTACTCCTGGGAAGCAGGTGCCACATACAACGGTGGTCACAGAGGCAGGGATAACAAATGGAAAAAGAAACCCTCCTGTACATTGTTTCCTCTGAGAAGCAGTAAGACAGCTAATCTCAGGTTTGGGTAGAGAAGGCTTTCACCAGCTCAAAGCGGGGGAGGCAGGCCTGAGCCAGCCCTGCTGTGGCCTGGCTGCCACAGGGCCCCGTACCACGTGCCTGATGCCCTCCAGGGCCCCTCTTGGCTGTGACGGGTACCCCAGGAACTGCTGAGGAACCACGCCTGGTCCCAGGTCAGTTCTGGCCCTTTGCTGGGCCTCCGTGGCCTGAACCGCTGAACAAGAGAGTGGGCAAAGCCCTGGCCAGTGTGGCTCAGTTGCTTAAGCATCATCCTGCAAAGCAAAAGGTTACCAGTTCAATTCCCATTCAGGGCACATGCCTGGATTGGGGTTTGGTCCCCGGTCAAGGAGGCAAACAGAAGGCAACCAGTCGATGCTTCTCTCTTGTGTTGATGATCCTGCCCCTCTCTCTCCTTCCCTTCCCCTCTCTCAAAAAAAAAAAAAAAAAAAAAAAAAAAAAAAGGCTGGTCAAGACAAGGTCTGAGGTACAAGTACCCAGTGTGGTAGGAATCGTTTGTTCTTCTTTCTAATTATGCATGTTCCCAGAGGAAATTTTGATAAAATACATACAAGCAAAAGGAGAACAAAAGTTGCCTCTTAGCCTGGCCACCTGGAGCTACTCACAGGTACCATTTATAGAATAACTTCCAGGCTCCTTCTAAATTATAGTTATTTGAATAAAAATAGGATCCCACCGTCCACACGGTCTCACCGCCGGGTTTGTTCCCTTAATAGCCTTCTTATATTGCAATTCATAACACTCTTTTAAAAAATATCTCTTCGGAAATGCTAATGCAAGCACATGGTTCAAAATTCAAAAAATGTACAACGGCGGACAGTGAAAAGAGGGAAGAGCAGGAATGTGACATTTGAGCAGAAACCTGGAATGACTGGGAGTCAGTCATGTGGACTCAGGTAAAGAATGTTGCAGGCTGAGTAAACTGCCAGTGCAAAGGCTCTGAGGCTTTGTTCCGCATTCGCTCCGTGTGACCTCTGGCTGGCGGAGTAACCTCTCTGTGCCTCAGTTTCCCTTGAAGGCTAACTGAGTGCCTTCAATGCTGCGTGCTCACTGGCTGTGGGCTTTTGTGAAGGTGGGCGTGAGGGGGGTCTCTCTGAGGATCCGAGGGGAGGCCAGCAGGGCTGGGGCTGATGATGAGCAAAGTGGGGATCCAAAGTTTGGATTTCATCCTAAGTACGGTGGGAACGCATCCGCTGGAGGGTTTTAAGCAGAAGAGAGACGAGATCAGATTTTCTTTAAAAAATATGGGAGCCGCTGTAGGGTTGAGAGGAGCAGCAGCAAAGAGGCTGGAAAGTAGAGCGACACCAGCGGCCCAGAGCGCAGGGCTGCCCGGAGGGAAGGCCGCGGGGTTGAGTGGGCAGGCCTGTGATGGTGGGGGCGGGGGCGAGGCTGGACGGGAACCCAGGGTGAGGCTGTTTTAGACGTGGCCAGCTGGGTGGATGGTGGAGCTGTTTCCGAGCTGGCACGGCCTGGACACGAGCAGAGTTTGGGGTGGCAAGGGAACACGGGTTGCAGATCTGACCAGTTTAGGTGCCATCAGATGCTCATGGGCCATCGGTCACCAAAAAGAGACATTTGAAAGTCAGGTGTTATCCCAGATCTGAGACAGCAGAACCTTGGAGAAAGGTGTGAGCCCCAGACCCTCCAATGGGAAGATGTTGGAGAAGGTCCTGCCAGCAAGGAAGGAGGAGAAGCCGGAGGGAGGGGGCGGGGAGCCCAGAGAACAAAGGGTATCAGGGAGGGGGCTGTCATCAGCTGTGTCACCTGCCACCAGAGATGGAAGATGTGCGTCTCTGATCACAGCTCCAATTGTTTCCAGGGTCATTTTTACAATGGAATCACAGGGTCAAAGGGAGACCAGTTTGTCCTCGTAATAAGCTAAATCCGTGAACACGTTAGCAGCCAGCATCAGGGTTAGGGTTGGGAGAGGCTGGCCCACCGATGATACGAATTTTGCCTAAGGCAAGTTTTCTTCCTGCAGTTACAGGAAAGCGTTTCCTTGTAGGTCACTGTATGTAAATAGATCTTCGGAGTTGGAGGAGTCCTTAAGGACATCAGAGTGTCAGAGCCCCGGAGTGGCCATGCCACAGCTGCCTTCCCTTCTCAATGCCAGACTTCTGCACAAACCTGCCAGTGAGCTTGAAGCTCCTCCGGTCTCCACAGGGCCCTGGGTGGAGGCAAGGGGCAGCCGGACCGACCGAGTCCTGGCCCTCCGGACTGCGGTAGCCTTTTAGAAACTTGTCCTCAATGAGACACTCCACCCCTTGCCCAAAGACAGCCCCAGAAATTACGGGCTTGTCAAGGGCTCATTTCGGCCCCGCTCAGTGTGACTTAGTTGGTTGACATGTGGTCTCATAGTCAGAAAGGTCGTGGGTTCGATTCCCGGTTAGAGCACAGACCCCGGTTGCAGGTGCAATCCACAGTCAGGACACATACAAGAGGGCAACCAATTGATGGTTTTCTTCCACATCGTTGTTTCTCTCCCCACCCGCCTTTAAAACAATGAAAAAAATGTCCTTGCGTGAGGATTAAAAAAGAAAAAAGAAAAAGAGCTCATTTCAGCCCTTGCCCTACTAAGGAGTTGCCCAGGGTCACACAGCACATCAGCAGCAGAAAGCCAGGGGGACAAGACAGGGGGTGGTGAGTAAGGGCAGAGTCTAGTGTCAGCAAACCAGGGTTTGAATCTTGGCTCTGCCACATACAGTCCGTGTCACCCTGGGTGAGGTGCTTAGCCTCTGGGAGCCTCCATTTCTCCACCTGCAAAATGGGGATCTTGTCCAATCCACACACTTCTCAAGAGGTAGGAAAGAGATCGCAATGCCAGGTACAAGGATCAGTGCTTAATACATCTTAGCTAAAAGCAACTCACCCAAAGGTGTTTCAAGGCAGAGGCAAATGTGAGCAAAGCTTGGAGGTGGAAGAGGAGGCCAAGGCCAATTCCTTGCCGGGGCCAGGCCTCGGTGGGCTGCGGGCTTTATTAACCCTAAAGGCGTGACGGGGCAGGAGAGGGGCAGAATCAGGCAGGTCTGAGCTCAGAAAGTCCGCAGCAGGCACAGCACCGTGCCTTTGCGGGCCTGCTGTG